GGTGCGCTGGGCACGGAGGCCACCACCTGTGCTTTGCTGTGGTGTCTTGTTGGGGTTGGCTGTCGTGGTTGGCTGCTTGAACGCTGGGGGGGGGGGATCGACAGAGCGTTGCCACCCAGCGCTTCATTGGTCCGGAACTCTCACACTTCTGATGCGATTGGATGCCGCGCCCCCGCCCGCGCAATTGTGCAGGCGCTGCTCTCTACGCTGCGCGGCAGCCGCCTGTGGCACGAGCAGGCTCTCGCCCTCAGCCGCCGCGGCGACCACCAGGGGGCCCTGCGCCTGCTCGCGCTGCGCGCTGGAGCGGTGGACGGCGCGATCGCCTACTGCAGGGCGCTGGGCGGCGGCCAGGAGTCGTGGCTGGCGCTGCTGGAGCTGTTCCTGCGCCCTGCAGCCGGGGCACAGCAGCAGGAGCAGCAGCAGGAGCAGCAGCAAGAGCAGGAGCAGGAGCAGCAGCAGCAGCAGCAGCAGCAGCAGAGCGAAAACCAGCAGCAGCAGGGGGTAGGCGTCGGAGCCGGCGACGCGTCCGAGCCGGACGCCGAGGCGGAGTCGCCCCCCGCGCCCAACTACGCCGCGGCGGTGCGCGTGCTCAACGCCCACGGCGCGCGGCTCAACCCCCTGCGGCTGCTGCAGGCCCTGGACGACGCCATGCCGCTGCCCCTGGCCCGCGAGGCCCTCGCGCGCGTGCTGGGCGGCGTGACGCACCGGCGGCGGGCGGGGCAGGTGGCGCGCGCCCTGCACCGCGCGCGCCACCTGGCGGTGCAGGCTGACAGGGCGGAGCTGCAGCAGGCGCGGGTGGTGGTGGGGGACGACACCGGCTGCCGCGGCTGCGGGCGGCTGCTGGGGGACCGCGTGATCTACAGGCACCCCTCAGGCGTCGTGCTCTGCGGCCGCTGCGTCGCGCCGGCCGCGGGCGCAGGGGCGGGGGCGGCGGCGGGCGGCGGCGGCGGCCGGGCGGCTGCTGACGATTTCGTTATGGTGTGACTCCCCTGTGCCAGGCCGCATGGCAATGAGGCTTGGCCATGTAAAGTGGGACAATTGTTGGGCCTGACAGCAGAGCACGAGCTGAGCACATTGATGTGTCTGCAACACAGAGATGTGTTCAGCAGCACTGGCCGCGCTGCTGCATCACCGTCAACACCAGAGCGCGTCTCCTGCAGTGGCTTGGTATTCAAAAAGAGATTGTCAGCTGCTGCAGGCGCTGGGATGCCTGCAACCCATTTTCAGGTGCACTGTATATCTGTGTACCACAGATGGCCCTGCTTTGACGTGGCAGTGCTATGTTGGGACGGCAACCCTTCAGCGACCTGTTGTTACAGTACAGACGTGGCACCTGCGTCGGCGGCAGCCCACTTGTGCAAGCCACAAAGACGTGGTCGCGACTGCAGGGTCGTGGGCAGACAGCAGGGTCACGGGGGCGTGCGTTTGCACCACTGCAGGAAGTGGGCAGTGATGCCAGTTCATGCATGCGCCATGCATTGCGTGATCGAAACCGGATGCTTGTAACAGCCCTTGGCAGGAAGGAAGTGACTGATGGACTGGCGCGTACAAAAAGGGAGGGGTCAACTTCAGCAGGCGCCCTCCTCCAGATGCAAGTGACAATCATCACAAGCCGTAAAATCAGTGACCCCCAGGGGGCACCCGTGCATATCCAGATCCCCAGTTATTGCCGACCTGACCCCCCCAGGTCTATTGCCAGGCACTTGAAGTTGCAGTGAAGCCCGATACTACACCAGTCCCTTGCTAAGTATGATGTCACGTGCACCGTAGGAAGCCTTTCACCACGCAACACCTCGCGCCCAGCACCATCGCTTGCCGCCCGCAGTTGTGCACTGCGCATGCACTCGGCTTTTCGCACCCGCGGCCGTCAGTCCTCGAAGGGAATCTCCCCAGCCCGCGCGCACTGGTCCGCCGTCTCCTCCGCCTTGCGGCACGGCAGCTCCGGCGCGCAGCGGCAGTGGTGCGACACCAGCAGCGCCGCGCGCTCCTTCTCCGCCATCTTGTCGGCCTTGGCCGTGGCCCGCAGGCCCTCGCAGCTGCGGCCGCCGATGGCCATGTCAGACTCCCTGTCTTTGGGGTAGAACCACGAGTCGGTGACCGACACGTCAGCGGGCAGCATGCCGACGGGCGGGCCCCTGAGGTGGGGCGTCAGCCGCGCCAGCCGGCTGGCCCAGACGTTGGTGTTGAAGGAGATGACGCCGCGGAAGGACTTGGGGTGGAAGCGCTCCGGCATGCCGTCCACGATCAGGCCCTGCTGCAGCATCGCCTCGCACGGCTCCCTGGCCCACACCATGCCCTCAGAGCTGCCGCGGTGGGGTGGGAGGTGAGGGTGAGGGTCAGGTGGGCGGGAGGAGGAGGGGGGTGCGCAGCCAGATATGCTGGCGTGGTGGGTGCGAGCAATAATGTGATAGCTACCGGGGACCCTCGCTGGCACGGTGCCGCATATTGCACGATCACAGCACAGTGCAGCTGCCCACATGCGCCTGCCGCACCCATCCCCGGCCTCCCTCCCTCCGACGCTCCTCCTGCCAATCAACCAGCCAGCCAACCCCCCCTTCCTCTTGCACGCTAAGCAGCACCCACCCCTCACCCCTCACCCCGCCCCCCACCTCATGAGCCGTGTGTCTGCGAGGTCGTACCGCAGGTTCTCCCGGGTGACCTGGGGCAGCAGCCCCAGGGGCTGGCTCCAGGACGCGACGTCCTCCTCGCCCCCGCGGCTGCGTATCTGTGCGACCGTGAAGTTGGCGGCGATGAGGTCCAGCAGCATGGTGGGGGTGCGGGGCATGTCGTCCCACCTGGGGCGCGGGGGCGTCGAGATGGGCGGGGACCAGGCGTGTGTTTGGGGTTGCGATGGAGTGTGTTTGTTTGTGTGTGTGTGTGTGTGTGTGTTTGGGTGTGTAGATCAAGTGCAGTCTCTAAAAGCGTGGGGCGAGGTTGGGTCGGACATGTCAACCAGTCGCACTGAGAGTGCCCAACCCCGTTGCGCAGCTGCCCCCTCAGCCAAGGTTGCAGCAGGCCTCCCTCCTTGCCCTAATCCAGCCTGAATGAGCGCAACCACACACGCGAAACATCACGCACCGGCGTCCCTTCTCATACACGTGTGGTGAGTACTCCATCACGATGTTGTCAATGAGCTGACGAGACAGCAGCTGCTGGGCGCCCTGTGAGTGGTGTGTGGTGACGTGTGGGGTGCGCTTCAGGTGGATGGTGACCGATTGTGTGTGTATGTGTCTGAGTGTGTGTGTATGTGTATGTGTATGTGTATGTGAGATAGACAGAGAGAGAGGTTTCAAGACAAGACTTGACAGGTGCAGAGCACCGACGACCAGCAGTTTCGGAGTCGCTGCAAACCGCTACAAAATGGTACAGTGCAGTGCCGTGTCATGGGGCAGAAGGGCCACGATTACCTCCCCCGGGGTCCTGGCACCCCGTCTCAGCTCCGCCACATCCCCCGCCCCCCTGCCT